AGAGTATGAAAGACCCTACTCAACCCCCAAAGTGATGAGTAGTCAGCAGAGGCTTTTGGAAAGCACAGAAGCTCATAAAAGAAAGGTCGGTCTGACAGATGTCTGACACTTGATATTTTTAGGTCAACATAAGCCTAATTGTGAGAAAATATAAGAATCTTCAGTTTCAAGTCCTCTACACACCCCAAGTTTGGAAGACTTAAGTTTTAGAGGTCTCTAATGTTCCAAGTGTACATCTAGAAATGACTAGTGACTTCTATGAGGAAACATGCAAGCAATGGGATGAAGTAAGGAAATCAAGATGTAGAAAAGAAAATAACAAAGTAGAAAAGACAATAACATAGTTGAAAAATTCATCAATGAAATGTATTTTCAAAAATTATGTAAATGACAAATTAAATTAATCATAAAATAAACAAGTAAATAATTGCTAATTAAGGTCGATATAGCCAGCAGAATAGGAAATTCACAGAAAAAAAGATACTTAAAGACAAACACAAATTAAGGCGATTCATGATTACCAAGCCAGTACTGCAGAATATATTTAAAGGGATTTTAGACACAGAGGAGAAAAAGACTGTCTTGATCCTGAGAGCACAGGAAAGGATAAATTTCATGAGAAGAATAGATTAATGCTTATTGCTGTGAAGAGACACTATGACCAAGGCAAATCTTATAACAGAAAGCACTTAATTGGGGGCTTGTTTACAGTTTCAGAGGTTTAGTCCATTATCATCATGGGGAACTTGGTGCCTTGCAGGTAGGTGCTACAGCAGTATCTGAGAGCTACACCCTAATCCATGGGGGTGGGGAGAGAGAGAGAGACTGAGAGACAGAGACAGAGACTGGGTACAGTGTATACTTTTGGAAGCCTCAAATGCCAACCCCAGTGACACACTTTCACTAACAAGGTTACATCTCCTAATCCTTTCAAATTGTACTACTCCCTAGTGACTAAGCATTCAAATATATGAGCCTATGGGGGACATTCTTACTCAAATTACCACATATATTAAGCCAGAAAACTCTTGATAGCAATATGGGACTGACCACCACCACCAAACCCTGAACCATCAAACAACTTATGAAAGCATAATATTACAGGGATCAGAAAAGCCTCTTTCAATAATAATCCTGAGTGTAAATGGTCTTAACCCACAACTTATATACGAAGTATTATTGGTTCAAAAACTCTGTTGTGTACAAGAAAAACACCTTTCTGGCAAAGACGGTCTGAGAGTAAAGGATAAGACTAAATATGTAAAAATGTAAACCAAAGAACTGTAAACCCCAAACCAATAGGAGCATCTATAATTATAGCTGATAAAGTAGACTTCAAGCCAAAATTTATTCAAAAGTGCCAAGAATGCCACACACATTTTTAAAAAATTATGTATTTTCCCCATCTTTCTCCTCACTCCAACTTTTTCTTTTGAATTCATGGCCTGCTATTCTTTATTTTAGTATATATTTACACATAAATTTATAAATAAAATCTGCTAAATTCCTTTAGTGTTGCTCACGTGTGTGTGTGTGTGTGTGTGTGTGTGTGTGTGTGTGTGTGTGTGTGTGTGTGTGTTTAGAGCTGACCACTTAGATTTGGCTTACTTACCAGGGGGCTTGTCCCTGGAGAACACTGATCCTTCCTCTCCTCAGCCATTAATTACCTATAGCTCTTCAACTAGAGGTAAGGCCTTGTGAGATTTTCTGTAGCCATATTGGCATGCTAACTGGCATCATTTTTCAGGACTTGTTTTGGCAACCATACTGTTGAGATTTCATGGAGAAGATGGCCTCACAACAGACGCCCTTGTTTCCCTGGCTCTTACAATCTTTGCTGTCTCCTCTGTGATGATCCCTGAGGCTTTGGTGTAGAGATTTGTGCTGGAGGTCAGTTGTTCTCTACATTTTACAGTTGTGAGTTTCTATAATGGTCTCTGATGCAAACAGAATCTTCTCTGATAAAGAAGTGAGAGCTATGTGTATCTGAAGGTATAAAGTTTTAAAATGTAGTTAGGAACTATAGCTCATCATCCGTGAGTTGTGGGCCAGGTTTCCATTATCAGGCATGGATTCTCTCTTATTTTGTGGACCTTAAAGTCCAATGAGAGGACCACTGACGTTGCTCCCAGGATATCAGTGCTACTATTATACCTTGCGATGGGTTGAATGAAATATCCGCATAGTCTTGGGCATATGTATGCCTGGACCCAATTTGATGACATTGTTTGGTGAAGCTTAGGAGGTGTGGCCCTGTCACTGGGAGTGGGCTTTGAAGTTTCAAAGACTCTTAACCATTCCTAGTTCATTCTCTCTGCTTCCTGATTACAATTTAGGATGTGAGCTCACAGCTTATGGCTCCAGCCATCATGCATGTTATCACACCTGCTGTATCCCTGTGCTTTCAGAGAGGTATTAATACCAACACTGCTCAAATTATTTCACAAAAGAGTAAATGAAAAAATCCATTTTTCAATGAAGGAAGCATAATACTTGCATCAAAACCAAAGACTAGATAAAAGAGAAAATCATAGGCTAACTTTTTAAAAGATAAAACACAAATGGCCAAGGAATACTTTTTAAATAGTCAATATCCTTAGCCATAAGGGATATACAAATTAAAATTACATTGAATGGCTAAGACCCCAAACTCAAATGTTAACAAATGGTGGAATGGGTGTAGTGAAATGGGAAAAATTATTCACTGTTGTGGAGAGTGCAAACTGATGCAATTGGTATAGAAATTAAGGTGGAGGTTGTTCAAAAAACTGAAAATAGAACTACCACACAGCCCAGCTAGACCTCTCTTGGACATATATTCTCTGGACTCTATATCCTACTACAGAGATATTCATGTGTCCATGTTCACTGCCACTCTATTCACAATAGCCAAGATATGAAAACAGCCTGGGTGATGAATGGATAATGAAAATGTAGTATATTTATATAATTAATATTAATCAGCTATTAAGAAAAATAAATGTGTGACTTTGCTTATTGGCAACTTTTTTTCAAATGAAATTCATAGATAAGTGAATGGAAAAGGAACAGTCATCTGGAGTGAGGTAACCCAGGCCCAGAAAGACAAACACCATGTGTTTTTTCCCCTTATTTATGGATGCCAACTTGAATCTTTCAATATATGTGTTTCATTTGGAATACCCATCAAGGTGTGGAAATTACTAAGGGCCCATGGAGTAGCTTTCAACAGAGGGGATATATAATGCAGGTTTATAAAAGGTTAAAAGGGAATTGTGGAACAAGAAGGGGTTAGTTTTGGGTGAAGAAACAGAGTAGGATAAAAGAAATTGGGAAGGGTAAATAACATTAAAGGGTTCAATGAAGTCATATGGAAGCCTACTAATGCAGATACTAAAGTATATCTTTACATGTACAGAAAAGAGTCAAAATGGGGAGTTATTCTGTACCATGGCAATAATGCCCTACTCGACACCACAGTCTAACAAATAAAGACCCAGTCGCAGGAATGGGTTACTTCTCTATGAGTTGTTGGTCATTAAGTTTCCAAAGAACCTAATATTATGGGTTTTGATAATGATTTTGGTTATCCCCAGAGCTTGATGGTAGACCCTATTGCTGAAGATAACCACATACTTCAGTCATAGAACATGGAGAAATCAGGCTGGTACTGAGCTAGAAACTTTTCTCATACTGGCTAGCTTTCATAGTGCTGGTATGTGCTCTGTATGCTACTAGAAGAGCAAGGTAATCATCATCTTACCTGATTGTAAAACCCTTTGATGTACAATTGTAATTGGCCTGACAAAATATTATGCATTGGTGCAATCATGGCACAAACATTATGGGAGTAACCAACCACTTTCTGATTAGATTTAAGTAATGTTCAACAAGATAAAACCCATATCTACCACCATTATTGGTCCAAGAACTTGTGGATAGACAGGTCCTGGGTCCTAGGAGAGAAACTACTATTATTTTTTCTGGTAAGTGGACACATGTTAAACTGACTTCTAATGACTTACCATTATATCCATAGATTAAAATGCATCTCCTCAACCCTCGTGGAAAAGTTTTCTATTTGCTGTAGATGGTGATTAACATATCAACCACAACAAGTCAATGTTCATGGAATAAGAACCTGTAGAATGCGAAGCTCTAAATGGCACATTTATACTGCACCCTCTCCTCTCAAGGCTAAGGGATCATGACAGAGGGGTATGAAGACTGTAAAAGCAAGAGGGGTTGAATGAATACAAGGACAGAGCAGCCAGCTACACATATGAAATGACAGTGGTCATGCCAGCATACACAAGCCCGGTGCACTCTGAAGTCAGAAGAAGTATCATCATAAAGTTTTTGCCACTGATAGATTCACTACACTACACATTCATGAATACATGGGCATTAAAATTGGACTTGAGAGATGAATAAAGGGGGCAAACAAAGTTCAGCTGGTAAGGAAGGTGACAGTGGAATGTTTATAGTGAAACATTTAAAATAGCAAAGAAAGCAACTAATGGAGACAATAGGAGATGAAAAGATGTCACATTGCTTATCAGAAAATAATATTGTGAATTTGTCCATGTTATAGAAAGCAAACTATGAGCCAATGCAATTCCATTACAATTTAAATGGTATTTTTCACTTAACTAGATAAAAACTGAAACTAATATAGAGGCACAAAGTAAAATCATTTACAAAGAAAGCATTTCAAAACAAACCATTAGTTTTTGGCGGTCACATTCATTTTCTTAAGTAGTAATCTAGTAATCTTTTAAAGAAGCTGCAAAATCTACCACTTAGTTACACCTGAAAACTCAAGTTAACAAGTGAGTGCTGCTTGTGAACAAGAGATTCTGAACTTCTGGAAATGATCTAATTTCTGTTTTCTTTTTTCATGAGCTTATATCGTAATGTTCACTCAATATGCACAAGCCAACTAAATAACTTAGTATTATCTGAAATGAAAAAGAACTACACCAGAAATGGAATCTAAAGGAAAGTAAAGATAAAACAACCTTGGTTTTGCAGTTTTCTGTGGTCTCAATTGAGTGCCAGAGGTTTGAGGTAGGAACCATTACGTTTTCTCCAGAGAAACTTCTTGGAATGAAAAATCTATTACTAAGGTCTCTCTGACAAGTGGACTCCAGGACAGATCTTGTGTCAATGGTGCTGTATTGTGAAGTTCTGTTCTGTTTTCTCTCCTGGAGAAGTTTGGTCTTCACCTTTGCCAGCCTTTCATCTGTTCTACGAAGAGTGCAAAGACAAATTACTCACGCCTCATTTTCCTGAGTGGATGCTAAATAATCTACATTTCAAAAACGGTTAATGAAATTCCTCATTAAGCAGCATCTTAGTACTCAAATTGTGTCAGAGCATATGCATTGTATCTAAACACAGGGTTTAATCTGCTCTAAAGAAATGTATTTCTAGGGGAATTTCTAACTAGCAAGCAATTCAAACAGTGTAGAAGAGAGAGATGTCTGCTATGACACATGGCTCAACAAGTAACACAACAGATGTCTGGAAAAGCCCTATGCATATGATTCCTGGTGTCACTAAAATACACGAAAGGGTAACCGTTAAATGATGAGTACATCAATTTGCCTGGCTTTAATCGCCAACCTGCTTTGTGAGAAGGTTGCTGTGTAATAGCAGTATGCCTTCTTAGACACTGAGCCAGCTCTCTGGACCCTTGAGGATAACTTATTTTGTTGATTTTATTTTATAAGGTGATATTCTCTTTTCTTTTGTAACTTTTGTAGGGGAGGGGAACTGCATGTGCTAGAACAGCACTCTGATTGGGCAGCAGCACCAGCCTCCAAATTTACTTCCTAGAGTTACTTTTCCCGTCCTACCGACAAGTTAGTGAGCTTAATTTATCTTCTGCGATGTTCTGACTTACATGCTTAGTTTATTTGATAATGATTTTCTAATTTTGACCTCTTCTAGGTAGAGCTGCTTATAGTTTTCCATTTCTATTTGATTACAATCTACTTGACTTTTCATTTTACAGAATTCAGATTCCAGGTCCCTTATTCTGAGCTCCATCTCAGTTCGTACTGAAGCGTTCTGTTCATGCCTTAACTTCTCTAGCTTGTCTTCGTACGCTGCTTGTGTCTACGGCAAATGGGTAGGAAACGATTTAAAAATACTGTAGCTCAAACAGTTATGCATCTGTTTCCTTTAGTTTTGACAAATTATTTCACAGATGTACTTTAAATATGTAAAATGATGCTAAATTACAATTATTTTTCATTAATATGAATTCCATTAAACTTGAAATTATAAAAAATTACAAAAACATTGAAATTAAAAATGAAATCATTCATTTATTTGTTACCATTATAGTTTCTGTGTTCTATGCCAGCTACTTTTAAATACCAAATGATTCTCTAAGAAAAACAGTTCAATTATACTGATGAAACTATTTCAAGGGAAAACATCTGCCTTCCAAATTTTCTAGTATAATGTGTATTCTTTGAAAGTTTCACAGAATATATTTTAACATATTTTTATCATGTTCATCCCCTCTCCTCATTTCAAGTCCTGCTACATCTAATTTCTTGATTTTTTTTCTTAAAAATAATAATGTACCACTTTATGATGTTCTTATACCCCTGGGTGTGGGGTTATCTACTGAAGCATGGTTGACTTACTAGAGGGTATACCCTCTGAAAATTTACTCTCTCTTCCCTAGAAGCCATTGACTGTCCACAGTTCCTTAGGAGAGGAGATCATGATCCCCATCCCACTTCTTGCTAAATGATGACTGGCTCCATCTTGTCCAGGTCTTCTGCAGGCTATCACATCTGCTGTGAGTTTGTGTGTTCAGTCGTCTCATTGTGTCCAGAAGACACTGTTTCAATCTGGTCCTCCCTAACCTCTGGCCTTTCTTACTATTTCTTAAATTTTTCTTTAAAAAGGATTGCCAGAAAAAGAAGAAGGAACACATACAGCATAAATGCCCAAAATATAGTTTGCAGTGAAAACAATTAAGACATATTGTATATAATTAACCTGCAAAAATAGGTTGACTTGTTTTAATTTTTCCGCTAAGGCCTGCTTTGTTTTCTCTTCAATTTCCCATTTATACTGTTCCATTTGGCCACATTCTATCATATTCTTTTCCATATAAACTTTGAGGTTAACTATTTCTTGCTCTAACTTCCTTTTATGCTTCTTTAATTTTTCACATTTCTTTTGTATGGTTTTCATAGATAGTAACTCCTGTTGAAGCAGCTGGTTTTCTTTATGTAGATGTAGACACTTGGAAGATGCAGTTTCCAGTTTTGCAGTAAGGTCATCATTCTGTAGGTACAAAATCATATGCTTTGGTGCTGAGAAAAGCCTGCTGAGAATGGTATAACAGAAAAAGTAAAATCTGACACAATTTTAATTGCAACAAAGTATTATTTCTAATTGATTCTTAAAACATGCTTGCTACTCAGAAAGTCAAGGAGGAAAAATTCACCAGAGTCACAAAACCATTGTCTTCATATTCACTATCTTTGTTTTAAAAAATGCTATTTTCTGCACTTTTTATTAACATGAAGTTACCCCTCAGAAGAAAACCTTTGTGTCATCTATATTCACTTTTAAAGAAGACATAAGGATATCATATGGTGTTAAATAATTGGCTCCCAAAAGGAGGAAAATAATACATGTAAAATAGTATTCTAGTTAATGAATCTTATAAATAAGGATTCTAAGGTCAATAATTCTTTTTCTAACCTGCAAATCTTTGCTGATATTTGAATTACATTCCAAGATGCAATGATTCTCAGAGAGGAGCGATTAAAAAGGTCGAGAGACATGATCCATATTATTTTGTTCATAAGAGTGATTTAATTCAGTGGATTGAAATTGTATTTGTGAGGGAGCTCAAGGCACAGAATGAATCCTAATGTAGAGAACCCAACCAAAGACCTTGTCAAAATTCGGATTCTACCAAACATGTGGATAAACAAGATTTTAGATTATTTTGGTGCCTAGTTTCAAGTCATTGAAGTTAGTGCTAAGTGCACTAGCTACACTAACTAAATGTAGATTATAAAAAAATAAATGTTGGCTTTGAGACATTGAATTTTGAGGTGATTTTTGACACAAAATGACACAGAAATGTTACTGAATATGATGTGTTGTCATTTAAGGAACTTGGGATGCCTTAGATATGTGGGCAGTTCAAAGTACTAATGATTTTAGTTAATATTCCCAGTACTTTTAAAGTATATAGAAAAACCTTCATTATTTTGAATAAACCTAATAGGCTTGGGGTACTATTACCGTCTCTCACTTTTTGATCCATTAATAGATTTCTGTATGATACTGATGTACAAGGATGTCTTATTGCTCTCATTCTTAGCTAACTCGTTATTAATAAATTGCCTAAAGATTCTCTGGATTTCCTCAGTGACTGTTATGTCCCCCTTTTCATTTCTGATTTTGTTAATTTCATGTTCTCTCTCTGCCTTTTGGTTAGTTTGGATAACAGTTTGTCTATCTTGTTGATTTTCTCGAAGAACCAACTCTTTTGTTATACTGATTCTTTGAATTGTTTTCTTTGTTTCTACTTTATTGAAGTCTGCTCCTCCGGGATGAATTTGCTTCCATTTTTTCTAGAGCTTTCAGCTATGATGTCAACTCTCTGGTGTGGCTATTCTCTAGTTTCTTCATGTGAGCACTTAGAGCTATGAACTTTCCTCTTAGTACTGCTTTCAAAGTATCCCATAAGTTTGGGTATGTTGTGTCTACAATTTCATTGAATTCTAGGAAGTCTTTAATTTCTTTCTTCCTTGACCCAGGAATGGTGTAATTGCATGTTGTTCAATTTCCATGAGTTGGTAGGTTTCTTCAGATCATATTTTGTGGAAAACCTGTACTCCACAAAATTTGAAAATTGAAAGGAAGTGGACAACTTTCTGGAAAGTTATCACTTACCAAAATTGAATCAAGAACAGATAAGCAACTTAAACAGACCTGTAAACTCTAAGGAAATAGAAGCAGTCATCAAAAGTCTCCCAACCAAAAAAAAGCCTGGGACCAGATGGATTCACTGCAGAATTCTACCAGAAGTTCAAATAAGAGCTAATACCAATGCTCCTCAAATTGTTCTACACAATAGAAAGAGAAGGAACATTGCCAAACTCTTTTTACCAGGCTACAATAACCTTGATACCTAAGCCACACAAAGACACAACCAAGAAAGAGAACTACAGACCAATATCCCTCATGAACATTGATGCAAAAATTCTCAATAGAATACAGGCAAATCAAATCCAAGAACACATCAGAGAAATCATCCACCGTCATTAAGTAGGCTTCATCCCAGGGATGCAAGGATGGTTCAACATACGAAAATCCATCAATGTAATCCACCATATAAGCAGAGTGAGGAAAAAAACCCACATGATCATCTCACTAGATGCCCCAAAAGCCTTTGACAAAATCCAACACCCCTTCATGATAAAGGTCTTGGAGAAATCAGGGATAACAGGAACATACCTCAACATGATAAAAGCTATATACAGCAAGCCAACAGCCAACATCAAATTAAATGGAGAGAAACGCAATGCAATTCCTCTAAAATCAGGAACAAAACAAGGCTGTCCACTCTCTCCATACCTCTTCAATATTGTCCTTGAA